CATCAAGATTCAATTTTTTCGAGCTCGGAAGGTGATATTCGTGATCAGCATGACCTGGTGAATCAGAATATGTATAATAAAGCCAAAAATAAATTTCACTGTCAGTTTGCTTTCCGTGCACCTTACAAAATGCACCGAGTGAATCGCTATAAAATGGTTGTACTGATTTATGTTGCTGTACAGTGTCATTACTGTATATGGTGGTACCAGGTTTCACATATTGTTGCTAGAACCAGAGTTGATACTAATCGGTAGGCTCGCATAACAGACTTACAATTATTGATAAAAGATTTTTTTTCGGTCCCTTCACTATTAAGTTGATTTCTTAAGGTCAACTGATCTTAAAATTCTAAGTATCTCACAGATTATCTTGATCTAATTATTTACAGATTTACGGTTTAAAGAGCATATCAACAGAGCTGGGCACGTCAAGTCTGACTTGACTTGACTTGAAAGTTTATGACCTGGACTTGACTTGAAAAATTTTCATATCAAGTCATTTCTAGTAAGAGATTTTTACCATGAAACAGCGTTTCTGGAACTAAAATTTTTGCTGATAAGCACGAGAGATAGCGAGCTGGAACTAGTCTAGACTTGTAGAACCTGAGTTTCTTGTTTTTATTGCTCAAAAGTTGAATTCTGATGAAGAAAACTAATAATTACCAGGAGAATTCTGGCTTTGCAAAAGCACTTCTAATGTCAAGATGCCCCAGAACACTTTTTTCTCTGTATTAGATATATCAAATTGTAGCTCGACAAATTCTCTATCGAATGGTATATTTGTTGCAGGATTGGAAATGATTACATATAATATCTGAGACTTGCAGTGGAGATCATTTTCTATAGCAAGAAATATTTCTAAACATATTTGGCCTCAGATTGACTATTTCTGTATATGTAATATACAGAAATATACTGGAGAAAAGAGCTTTCGAATGATATATAATACTGGTGAGAAATTGTGAAACTGAGAGAGAAAGATTTAGAAATATCATCTATAATATATATTAGATGCAGTAGAAACTTGATCAAATTTGATTAGACCAATTGTTTTCTGAGAGTTCTAAGGTCTAGTAAGCACCCAGAAATATTCCCCTCATCATTCTCAATCTAGCCTTTGATTAGTCGATGAAATTCAGGCATGTACCGATTTCATCAGCTAACTGCTCCCCGTGTTTAGCAATTTCATCAGATAATCGCCCCTTCCTTTGCAATTTCTTTTTGCCTAGCACGAAACTTTCATTTACCTCCCTAATGTGTCGTACAAATAGACGAAAGAAAAGAAAGAAATATGAAATGAAGAAAGGCAAAGTTTTATCTTAACGTTCTATTTTTGGACGAACGTCTTGCTGTTAATTAAACGTAAGAGCGATAGAAAACAAACGATAATACCTAGCTACAAGATGAAAAAGTATTGTGTTATACTTTCATCTCATCTCTAATATACCTTTTCTCGAATCACACACAAAATAATCGACCTCACTTGTTATGGGAACAAAATATTGCGATTTTTTATACATTTTTATCACGTCTAATTTTCAAATAGGCGCGTTCAAGCATGAAACCATACTCCTACGGTAAATAGAAGACAGGTAATGAACTGCAGCTATTAAGTTTATTCTAGCACTGGGTTAACATATGATAATAATGCCACACGAGTCTTACAATGAGTCAGAAGCATTTGACAATATTTGGAGTGCATTAAAATGGAGAGAAATTAGAAGACGTATACCAATATGTTTCTCAAAGACGATTCGAAGCTGGTATATGCTGGGAAATTTTATATACTTGGTATGTATGTATTGAAAGCCGTTGATCCTAATATAATTCAGAAGTTTCTCTCACTCAGGGATATACAGTAGGTGCGCTCGTATTAGACTATGACGTACCTCTTAATAATAATACGCCTGCAGCAAACAAAGGTTATCTTGGTCTAGCGTGCATTCATTTAACATCTGCGTTTCTTTACTGGTATGCATGGCAAGATCATACATGGTCAGATGTCATTATGATACCTGAGTATATGAATATGATCGAAGCATGCCTCTATGTTTGGAGTTCATCGTATTATCCGAAACAAAGTGTCTCGCTCTTTGATTACTATTCACTTGCAACACATAAAATCGAATTGGCAGCGGGTGTTGTCGATCTTATCGCGTGTGTTGGGTGGTAAGCGAATTATTTTTCTCACACAATTAAAACTAATAATTCTATATGTTAAGGATCATGTCGTGGTATCGAACATATACTCGAACACTCGGTCGTGGTTTTGCGTTTGACGATCCCGATACATTTGCCTGTTTGACCACGACTGTAGCTTCGTGTATTTACGTCGCATACAACATTCGAATGGTTATTCACCCAGAGGAATACGACACGAATCATTTGTATTACAAGGGTGATATTCTGTTTGCAGTAGGTGGTTTCTTCTATATTATGGCAGCGATGAGAGATGATGGATGGCTTTGGTTTATGCCGTTTGCTGGTCAGTACGGAATTGCTGTGGGGAAAGTGAAAACGGGCAAACGGATTAAGGTGGGACTGCCACCCTATCCCATAACAGACTTTTGTCGGAACAGAAAAAAGCAACTTAAGAAACGGGAAATGATTTTGTCACCTTCTCCAGAAAATGATAATGATGAAGAATTTATTATAGTTCTCTAAACTCTGATCAACCATCTTAATCTGAATTGATGTGTGTTTATTCAATGTTGAATGTGTACATGACGGAATAATATTCACTTGACACTAATAGATCAAGTTCTCAGCTACAAAGGTTATTTTTAGCAAAAACAGAGGGTTACAGAAAACTGAATGTGAAATGAATAGTACTTCTTTCATCGTGGGAACTATCCCTATGTTACCTCGTGTGAAAGTCTAGGATAAAGCATTCGATAAAAGCGACATCAGAACAAGTTGAAAACTTCAGGATATAGTTAATTTTGTCACGTAAATCTGATTATATGATCAGAAAATTGAAATATTATAATTTCGTATAAAGGTTTTCTAGAAATCCGTTCTGAAAACCAAAAGTTTTGCGAATTTTCTTTTGTAGATTTCTTTTCAATAGAATACGTAGCACGGGAAAAACAGCGTGGAGTAAAACGAGCGCTAAATAATTAGAACAAAAACGTATAGAAAGAAAAAGCGTGGAACGCAAACCATAGGGAAAAGGCATGGAAACTACATGAATTGCATAACTAAATCAGTTGTACGCATTTTTTCATCTCAGAAACTAAACAACTCCACCTTTGGTCGATGGTTCAGACATGTTGAATGAATCGACTTTAATCAGCGTGGTCAACATTGATTGAAAAAACAGGTAAGGATTCTTTAAATTCCGACTTTGCATTATAAAATAAAATATTTAATGGGAAAAACATGGTTAAAAAAAGCATAGATAAAAAGTACAAAACATCTCATGCTTTTCTTGCCGTGTATAATACCATACAGATTTCAAACTCCGGTGTGTTTATAATGCGTTATGAATCTTTTAATATTATGTGAGAACAGCCTGGGAACTCTAATTTTGTAAACCTTGATTCCCACCTACTTTTAACTGTTTTTCTTCCAACAAACATTGCTAATTTATCATATTCATTGCAGGCGATTACGTATGGTTCACAAGGCTGAGCAAGTTCAGACTGGAAGATTTTTTCGGTGGACTTGCACCTGGACTGGAGATTTTTTGAAGGATTCGGACTCGAACTTGAGCTTTTGTATTTCGAGTCCGCTCGGTTAGTTTATTATAAGTGAACAGAGAAATTGCATTTTTTAAATATTAGTACGAGATATCTGCACACATATGTGTTGCTATCTTTAAAAATTATGCTTAGCACAGCAGCTTGTTTATATGAATAATAACAGCCCCAGTTCAATTGTACCACAGAAATTGTACATATATCTTTATGCCAGTTTTGGATCGAACTACTACTGAAAAAATTTTCTTCATTGTTTTGCAAAAGAATATTTTACGAGGTTTCTGGAGGGGATCAAGGACTGAATGAAACTGAGAAATTTTTCTAGAGTACCCCGATTCAAAACTTGTTCTGTACAAGGTAATTGACTATGGAGAGTCCGAACGCGCTTTTAGTTTTGGTCCGCTTGTAAAATTTCTCGACTAAATTGACATGGAAAAGTCTTGTAAACACTTTAAGACGTATTTGCACTCTAGAAAATGTTTCTTTCTGAAGATCTTAATAAAACATTGAGTACCACTATCTATTCTGAAGCATTTGAATTTTTGAAAAGTAGCACTCAGTATTTTATTAAGAGCTTCAAACAACTGGCTGTTTCTAGAATGCAGATACATCTTAAAATGTTTACAAGACTTTTCTCTACAATTTAAGACGTTTCGCAGTCTTCTGTATGATACAGTTTGGTATATATCGCTACAATAAAATGGAGAAATGGAATTTCCAAGCAGTAGTAGAGTTAGCTGGCCATCCCTTTTAGTTATGTGAATACTCACCGTCATCCCATCATACTAAACGGTATTTGTTGACTTATGCAGTTCATCGAAACTTAACTTGCAACCTTTATTTCGACAAAGGTTATCATATCGCTTATTCATCCACGACTTTTCTTTGATTGTTTTTGACTGGAAGCACGCCAGAGAGATGCCTGGCCACACAAACAAAGGAGTAGTGCGGATAAGGCCCTTTCCTGGTCCAAAAACTTTCTGAATACCCAGGAACATTTCCGCACACTTAGCAAAAAACGATCTTTAAATGGCTCATAGCTGAGGAAGCACAGAAAAACTAAAATCGATGATATTTCGTATGTAGAATTTTACGCTGAATCCAAATATGCAATTTGAAAAATTACAAAAGCTCGAACGTTTTTGAAAATCAGCAAAACTGGTGGAAATCTTATTGTTTGACGGTATTCGCCCTAGATGGCCCAGTCAGGAACCTGGTATCATGTGAAAGTTTAGAATGTTTGTTGTCTTCTTACAGCCGTAGTACTATCAGGAGAAAGTTATAAAATATGGAGAAGGGTAATAAGAGAAGAATGTTTGAAAGAGTACTTACGAGGGAACCATCTGAGGTGATACCTCCCGTTTTCATTCATTCATATCTCATTTAGTTGAGTATATTGAGATAGTAAAAACCCTAAAGGGGATTTTCCCCAATCTCATTCCTTCAAAAGTTATCGA